AATTTAGGAGTTATGATGAAGAATGGAGTAAATACTAAAGTAAGAAAGTGAATATCAAATCTTTTTCAGTTTACTACCAACAAATTAATCAACAAAAATTCGTGGCACATTTCGTCTAACGTTTTAGAAAGTGAAGGTGTGCTACCAGCAACTATTCTATGTCTATCTATCATCTTCCTTTTTCCTTTTTTTTTTCTTTCTTTTTTGTTGTCCTTGACTCTGACTTTGCATAACATAATATAATAACCCGTTGTATTATTTGTTACTGACATTTTTTTCACAACTTCAAGTTTCGGGCATTTGCTTCCTTCTCTGCAATGTGTACTGTTTGATACTTTGATTTATATCGCAATATACTGAATTAGTATGAAGGTAAAACGACAAAAAGGTAAATTAAAAGAGCAATATAGCTGTTTTTGTAATTTTGTGTCTAAGCTTTCTATAAAATTACATCTTAAACAATTATGATGTCAAAGCTTGGTCATCCTGAGGCAAGGCAAAGTTCAAAATATTTGAGAAAAGTTCAGCGCCTTGAACATTCTAGTACTAGACACGTTTTGATAGACAGTGAAAAAAATCTTGGAAGAGGGCCTGGGAAAGAGAACTTTCTGGCACCGAGTGTTCAAATGTTCTCATAAAAAAGATCGGCAAATATCACTCAGAACGGGTAAAATGAAAATCTTCGAAGTGGAGTGATATTCTAGGATGAATTTTGCCCGGAGACATACTTCGATTTGCAGATTTGGTCATAACCGAGAATGTAATGGATGAACTTTCTGTCTCCTCCTTTATCCCTCACGCTTATGTTGTCTCTCTGTATAGTTTTACCGTGTATCCATCCATTCATTCATCCATCTATCCAACGATCCATATATATATCCATCCATATTCTGTATGTTAGAGTGATATGTCTCTTATATTCTTTCCTTTTCCTCTTCGCTCTGTTCTACTTGTACATACTCCTGTCATCTTGTTTTATGCTGTTTGTTTCTGTTTTCTCTACATTTGCCACTGTCCATACTCTTCATTGAATTGTCCAATTTGCTTTTTATCATTATTGCGTACTATTTACCTGTTTTTCTCTTCCACCCTTCTCTCTATGTCTTTCTCCTTGTGTTCCTGCATTCCTTCATCTCACCCTTCTCGTCTGTTCCTCTGTCACTTCCTCTTCCTCTTTCTCTGTTCTTGAGTGCTATTTTGACATGTTTGTATTCCTTGCATTTTCTTTTAATCTTAACATACACTTCACTCTGGTTTTATACGTTTCTCCAGGCCGTGATTGCACTCAAAGAAATGTCGCGATGACCTAGAATCATTGAGTTTTCTCCCATGAATATGCATCCAGAAAGGGAGCATACGATGGGTCTAAATTTACATCTAGCCAGAAGACTTTGAGCATGAAGTTTCAAAGATCCTTACTCAGATGTTCTAAAGTTTTCCAAGCCAAACGAGAAAACGGCCAAATGAGTTCCTTTCTTACATTAATTTATTTGTGCGTGTTATTTATTCACATCTATAATTTCATAGTATCAATCCGTCTTTACTTTCAAAAAAGGGTTTACCGCGTGACGTGAACGTGCATACAGGAAAATCCTCACAGCATTAAACTTCTTCAGTAAATTATATGTAAGTAAATCTAATTTGTGAGTTAATGCAACGAAAATTCTCTTCAAAGCAATTGACTCTATACTTATTACAATATTTACATCATGCAATGAAGTGAACTAGTTTGACTAATCATTATCATTAAATTGAGTGATTTTTTTTTTCAGTCACCTCCTTTTAACAGACTTTTTAATGAATGATATGTTTATGTTTGATTATTATCTCCTACTAACAAATAAATGTTTTAATTTAATCTCTGAATATTACAAAAAAAGTGTGATCACTTTGATAATTCCAGAAATAAATTAACTCTCAAAGGATTATCAATGTATTAAACAAAAAGAAAATTATACGAATAGATTTGATTGAGAACCAGATTCGAATTCTGCATATATATCTAATAGAAGCAATAGCTTACTCTACTTTAAAATGAAATTGAATCTTTATTCACTTTCTGTCCTCAAATGAAGATTTTACCTTTAAGGTACATAAGAATAACTAAAGCGCGCAGGGCAGGCAGAGGTAGAGCGAATCGATCAGTCAGACAGACGTCAACCCGCCAAACCTCCTTTCTGAAATGGCGGTCATTAGTGGAGATAAGAAGAAGGCTTATCGCTCAGGGTCGGGCTAATTTGAAACTGAAATGGAAAACAAAGATCCTGGGGTGTCTAGAACGAACCCGATATCTGCAAGCATGGAACAAGCATGGAGCATGGGAAGCTAAAGGGGCGCCATCGTGTAAGTATAATATAAATCCCCTTACGATGTACTTAAAATCATTAATGTTATATAATTCATCTATGGAAATCTTCTTCTTTTTAATTCCATATGGTATTTAGCTAGGATATCACATTCGATTTTGATGACGTAAAGTGTGGAAATACTAATCACATTTTGTTATTTAATTGGTAATTACTTAACTCAGAACTCGGTGAATACGCGCAAGACCTCTGTTGCGCGCAGTTGCCATTCATGTACACGTAAACCGCGGCGTTCTTCTTTTTCATATTTGATCGAAGTCTAAGCTAATTTCTTTTACATATAACTTCATATTCAACACGCAAGAAACAATATGCAGCTCAATAAAAACGTTCATATTCAATCCTACCAGGTTCCAAGTAAAGAAATCATACCCAGAGATTCCCTTATCATTCCATTTACCCATCGCACCCCTATACATAATTAAACCTCTCTCCCTCTTTTACCCTTCCCAGTCTATCCTTACATTACATGCTTTGAGCAGATGCAAGTGATCACATGCCATTTGAGACATTGATTGAGCAGCTCTGATTGATGGGGGTAACATAGATGGCTGACTAGCCAAGATCTAAAAAGTCAGTAATTGCTTTCTAAAATAGAAAACAAAATTAATGGAAAGCATCCATCTACACATGTGATTGTTTAGAATAAGGCAGGTAGAAGTTACGCGACGCAGCTGGTACATACTACCTCAGACAACAGTTCGAGGCGTACAACTTAATTGCGCTGAATGACAAAAACAATTAACAACAATGTTTCAATTACAAACCTAAAGGGACCATTACTGTATATCGAATTGAAGAAGCGAACATAAACGAATTGCACAAGTCAGAAAATGCAGAGATATGCACATAGTTCTCGACGAACATGCCCTAAGAGATTCCCGGGGCAGGACAGAACGAACTGAGAAGGATCTTAAAACGAATTCAAAACGACTTCATAAGTGAATCAGAGCAAATGCTAAACATATCTTTTATTAACCACTAACGAGCTGTGTATAATTATGTGTTCTGCTTGTGGGCTCCGATTTAGAGTTTGAAGTTTCAAAATAAGATGAAAAACAAATTCCCCGCAGACCCTAATGCCATATATCATAACCAATGTTAAAGTAGATAAGTAAATGTGAAAAAATGAACTCTAAACAAATCAACTCAAGCATGAATACGAGAAAAAAGAATGTTTTCATTTCTCCACTTAAAGACATATATGTTCGACAAATACTTATATTCAAGTAGTAAAATCAGGAAATTTGGCTGGCTGGCAAAATTAAACTAAAAACTTTTATTTTAAAACTACGCAAGAGGGTGAAATACTTTATTACACTGTACCATTAATTTGATTTTAGAAATAATACATTATTGAAATGTCTTATTTGACACATTATTCTCTGTCCTCGTTTATTCTTCTCGACAAGGGCGTCAGGATTTTCAGTTTTAAAATGCCAAAATATTTTGTCCCGAAAATTTGAAAATCGCGCCGGCCGAAAAGTCGCTCAGTGTAAACACTTTTTTTTTTTTTTTTTAGTCCAAAATCAAGATCAGCCAACGAAAAGTCGCTCAGTGTAAATTTTTTTTTTTTGGTCTCGAAATTGAAAATTTGACATAAGTAAGGGTAAGGCACTTTACGTTAGCCGTGCATAATTTTTTTTTTTTAATTAAACAAACAAAGTTTAGTTTTTTTAGTTTACACACATTACCGGGTTGAATTATGCTTCTCGATATGTGTCAATTTGCATGAAATTGAATACCAAACCTTGTACAACTAAACAATTTGAAATCCGTTGTGCTTTTTATCTGTTATCCTCTGATGCATGTATTTTTCGTCATAATAGTTCCTCATTTTCCAAGGATAGACGTGACTTCCTCAAAAGGCAAAGGGGAAATAGGTGAACATGTCTATTGACGATCCACTGAAAAGGTGAAATATATTTGTTTCAACATAGACAGTACATTCCCATAGAAAGCACTAAAAATATGTGTTTATTAAATTGTGTCTCATGTTTTGTGCTCGTCAGAGTGTTTTCTCAGAGAAGTGCACTCCTAAAGTTGTATTGCCGTTAGGTCTCCTTTAGGTACCAGCAGAAAAATCAGATGGTACTTCGTTCTAATAAATTGCACCTGCCTCTCTCTCTCTCTCTCTCTCCCTTTCGTTCTCTCTGTCTGTCTCTCTCTCTCTCTCTCTCTCTCTCTTTTCTCCATTCTCTCTTTAATTGTTTTGCTCTCTCATTCTTCAGCCATCCTTTTGTCCTTTCCTGTATTTCTTTGTTTGTCAATTTGTTACTCTTTGCGTGTGCGTCTCTCTCTCTCTCTCTGTCTGTATTTCCCCCCCCCCCCCACCCCCCCCCCCCCTCTCTCTCTCTCCCCCCCCCCCCCCCCCCCCTCTCTCCATTTGCTCACATTCTCATCTTTTCTCCGACATATATTAGTATTGTCGCTAGGAATACTATCTGCTTTCGACAGGGAAGAATGCTATTCACTGAAATGTATTATGTCTACATGACTGTGCTATGAATATTACATGGAGCAAAAGAAAGGTATCGAGCTCACTGCACACTGATGAAACTTATATTGTTATGAAAATGCAATCGCTGATAATAACTACGTAGAAATAAAAAAGCAGTTGGATATGTAACTTACCTAAACGCCTAAGTATCTATCCTTTGTACAAATCAATGGTTCTTTGAAAAGTGTTGATCAAATCAATGCGACAGACCTATAGAATCCTTGTGTTCAACACGAATACGTCCGTTAACTCCATTGTTTTGAATCAAACAGACATTTAGTCAATTAAGTGCAACGTTTCCTCTACAACTTGATGATCATACCGATGGTGAAAGGGTCAACTGCTGCTCAGACAACATGATTGTCTACTAGCTTCCTTTATCGACAGCCATATATCAGTCTAAACGAGAAAGCGTGTGTGTAATTTACAAGAACCGAGGCAGAAATAAAGCATTTGATTGAATGGTGTGTAACCGGCAGCCACCCCACGACTTATCTAAATTGACTTGTCTATTTTGAACTCAGTAAACAGACTGGGAACAAAAGCGAAATCCGTACCATAAATCAACACGGATGCCTTTAGTAAAAAATGGTACAAAAGATTTTTTCCGGGTGCCAGTGTAAAGATACACGATCTTGACTGTACAGCGCCCATGTATGGTAGAAAAGAGAGGGCAAATATTAACACTTGATGAGAACACGTGTTTATTTGTTTGCCACTTTTGGAAATAATAGTTAATGCAATAGATGTTTGTCATTTGATTTAACTTAATGAAAGGTAGCAGTACAAATATGACACTATAATTAGAATCAATGCTTTGTATTATTTGAATGCGTGGTTAGATCAAGGATGAATGACTTGATGATGATAACGGTGAAAAGAGAAGTTTTCAAGTTCAAGTTAGTCTCTTCAAAAACAAAATAATACAGATTTCCACGCAATAATATCAAGCATATAAACAAATCGATTGGGATTAAGGACCATCTTACATGAATCATGATTGTTTTCGTTCATTTTATGTATGTGGTACTCTTTCCTATGATCTATAAATTTAGGAACTATTATCGAACTTTGGCTATTAAATGACATCAGAATTTGAAAACATAGTTTGCTTTTTTAAATGTATGAACATTTGATTAAGACAAAAATTTGATCACAATTTATGTCTCTCTCTCTATTATGATAACTTTGATTTTTTTGTTCTTGTTACATCGAAATATAAGTTTTAAATCAAGCTTTTAAAAGAGTCCGAACAAATCGACTTGATAAACATTACCACGATTTGTAAAAAAAAAAAAAACTTAGGCAGTAAAACAGCAGACACCAATAATAAACAGCCCCAGTCTGTGACATCATCAACGATCGAACAATCATTAATGTTTATATCAAATTGTTTGACTCCTTCAAGATCATGTGGAGGGCTCCGTTGGAAAGCAGTTACTTTTACCTGAATCGGACTACCCTCCACTGTTTTATCAATTGTAATAAATAAAACATGAATATATAAATTAATAACAAATACGACATCAGAAAGAGATATAATTTATATACATGTATAAAAAGATCTATGGAGCGGTAGTTTGAGACAATGCCATGACCGTTATCTTTTCATTCATTATTTTTTATATTTAATATGGGTAGATGCGTAGAATCATTTGGCATATTATATGAACTGTCAAGGTAACATTCTAGGAATCCGATGGAATTGTGCAATTAGGGAATGCTATTAACTTATAAGCGAATTGTAGTGTAAATAATAATATTCAATTGCAATGGAACATTCCGTTCAAACAATAAAAATAATAATAATAATAAAAGGTACTCTTAAAGCACCTTCCACCGAAGGGAATATAGGGGAAATTCCGGTATATGTTTCCAGGAGAGCCACTTCATTATAGTCACTACTACGCAAATATTGGTTCAATACGATACGACCCACTGAAGACAATTTACAATAACATGTTTTACCGAGCGATGTGTGTCCTGCAAACAATCACTCGTCATATTTGATAAGTTTACCAGAAGTTCATTTTTCTCTCATATTAGCTCCCTTTTGTCTGAAGAGTTGAAATTGCATTTTCTCCACACAATCCCTTAAAATATCCATGTGATTGAATGTAGTGTTATAGCTCTCATCAGCTAAGAGGGAGGGTTGAGTTGAGCTCAGCTGATGGATCATGTAGATGGAAACTTATGTAAAATTCCAAATTGCTGTTTAAAAAATTGAAAGTGAACTTAAATAAGGTGTGGGCAGTTATTGACATGTAAATTCCCTGCTCGCGATTTTTTTATTTACCCACTTCGTATGTGTGTTTTTTTAACTTATCTCTTATTTTCAATAAAATAATTTTCATTTTATTTCTTCTCTAGATCAGAAACAGGTTTACAATCTGGTAATCGAGTGGTTTGAAAAGAGATGCCAAGGTCTTGGGTCCTATCCTTGTAGTATTAGTATCTTGTCCGTGACATTAGATTTTTGTATGGATTCTTTAAGAACATAATGATGGCAACCAAATGTTATTAACCTTTCATTCACTAAGAAAGATACATTAGCTCTCTGCAATATTCAATTTTCAGAGGTCTTCTTCTATTCTAAAATTGTGACATGTACCTCCATGACTAACCGCATTGTACATGATAGATGTGCGTGTGTTTGTGTGCGTTTAAATATATATATATTTACATATATATATATATATATTTATCGATGTAAGTTTATATGACGTGCATTAAAGCAGTTTGGAGGCATTTTGTTTTCAAGCCTAGTTCATCCTTTAAGAACTGTCTGTTTTTCACACAGAACTTCATAGTTGCCATGGCAATATGCCATGTTGCATTTGTGGATGCATCGCGCTTTTTGTTCTAGGTACGTGAAACGAAACGAAATCTAAATGTCAAACAGTCTGGTATACGTTTACGTAAAAAGTACATATCGTCTTTTGTAATCATCATCATCATCATGACCATAAACATTATCATCACCATCATTACCATCGTCGTTGTCATAAACGTCGTATACCGTACCTTTCTTTCTCCATCTATCTCTCTCTCTCTCTTCTCTCTCTTTTCTTCTCTCTCCATTATTTCTAGATAAATTTGCTTTGCTTCCCAACCGTATATCTCAAATTCCTATCAACCTTTCTCATTCCTTCTTACCCTTTTTTTCATATTTCTAATCCTAGATTTTTCTTAGCTTGCATTCCTCCGTTGTCATTTTTTTTTCTTCTTCAAATACTTGTTGAACTATCTCGTGATTGTATTGGAAAACAATCCTTATCACTGTTCGCTTCTTTAACATTTTTTATTACAGTCAGCATTCCTGACAAACATGTTAATATTGGGTATATTTCATTACATTATTCTGAAGACATGACAGTTTAATATCTTCATGATATTGCTAAGGTTCCATATAGTAACAAACTACTTTTGCAGTATTACGTCACAATGTGCATTCATGCATACCCACCCCGTCCCCTTTCACCCTACAAACATGAATCTTGATGGATGAAATAAGGAAATTATATTTTCGTGTACTCACCCTTCTTTTTTCTTCCTCTCTCGCTGTCTCTCTCTCTCTCTCTCTCTCTGGAAGATATTGCTTGATCAGTTTTAATCCATACCGCTCATCTGGGGAGAGAAAGAATAACTCAGTTTTATGGTCTACTCTTAATCCAAGTCAACTACTTAAACTCGCAAAAACAGGCTGATATGGAATTGCGATATTAATTCACTGGGTAGTGCAATATATATATATATATATATATATACATGTATACATATCTGCTAGTCTTGTATCAAGACAACGTTGATCGAGAGCACGTATATATATGTTTACTATTTGGTTATTTTCTAAGAGTATGGAAAATATGATTCTTATACATGATTGAAACACGGGCAACTGCAACTTGTAGGCATATTACAACCTCACTCATATATCACCAAATCTTCTAGGAAAGAAACGATACATTAAATCATAATCAGGAACTTATATTGACACGAAGTGAGGCTCCCTGAAATTTTGTCGTTTTCGTTACATTAATCGGTACATTCAATCTGTCTTAACAAGTGTTGTTAAACAGCACAATTACAGAACATCATCTTAAAGTCATTGGTGACATGAGACCATTTGACGGTTGAAATGAAGAGACTATACCTTCACACTTTCACATTATATCAAGCGTTACACAAGTGTCAAATAGCAATGACCTATGACCTGTACCGACTTTGAACCCTACCTGTATAAACTAAACCAGATGTTAGCTGAATGAGTGATGATCTAAGAATAGAAAGACTTGTCATCTGGGACAACTTTACACACACGTACAAATATAGGTAACATTTTGCTCTGTATACATGTTACAAGCCTTCAGCATCCTCTTCACCTCTTAGGCAACTTTCTAACGGGGGGTTGATTTTTAAAAAAATGCGTTTTGCAACATATTGAGTACACAGTACGTCTGTAGGCCTATTGTTTGGTATTTCCATATTTATCGTCATGAGTCTAAATAAAAATTGAAGGAAATAATGGGTATGAAATGAGTTCAAAGAGTTTCAAGCACTTTAACGTATGTCAGGAGTGTCATTTTAATATCAGGACCCGTTGTCTCTGTTAAGATGCCATATATCCCTCTTTAGACGCCAACAATGTGGGGGCAAGGCAACGTGGGTATCATTGTGTTAGTATTTGAGTATTCTCTCTTTCATTATTTGGTGACCGGAAAACAGTCGCTTCTAATGACATATAGGATTTACCACATCAATTAAGATGTGGAAAAGACTGACTCTTGTTTTTTTGGACGTTATTATGTCATCAAGCCTGAAGTGTTTTATTTTGAGACTTCAAGATGATTGAATTCCTTCAATCCTGTAGGATGTTTGATGCTATCCCACCTAGAGGGAGATTAAAAGAACAAGTGATAGCATCAAACCTTTATCATTTCAAGTCCAAAACTTGACCGCGTTATTGCGTAATCAAGGAGAACAGCACCGTGTCTCCAAGTCAGGCAATGGACCTTTTTATTTGTTGACTCGATTACAATATATTCGTCTTTATTTCTTTTAATTCACTGCTAGAAGAAGTAAAAATATATGTTTATTTGTATTGTCTTTTAAGAGAACGACATTTCTTTTCTTTTAAAATCGTTTTTAACAAAATGTTATTAAACTCAGACTTGATTTCCCATCTCCCTGTATCTATGCCAACATAAATGATGTAGTCTCCTCATTTATCGTGCGACATTCAATTTAGACAGTCGTATTCATTCGAAAAGATATTATCGCGTTTCTGAATCAGATACAAGACGAACCATGTGCATCCAGTCTGCCTGTGGCTTTTATGAGGAAACTTTTGCATATTGTTCTTTACTTATTCTAAAAAAATGAATTTATACGAATGTCTACCTTTAATATTAAACACGATGTTACAATTAAGACGCCTTCCAATTTTAGAATCGAATTCCTCGTTTTAATGTAGTGAGCGCGCTTCATGCTGTCATGATCATAGCGTTCCTTTTCTTAGCTCGACTCTTTCCTGTACACTCGAAGATAATAATCACCTTCAAACTTGTAGCGCCGGCGTTTAAAATTGAAAAA